AGTGCTGATCCTACAGCATCACACCAAGAGTCCCTGGGTTTACTAGCACATTGTTAATATACCTATTGCAGTAATTCATGCCCAGGTATGGAAGATTATGTTATATCTGCTAGTTGTTGCATTTGATTTAGGTACAAAAACAAACAATGTTGAAAATCACATGAGGTTACTATGGGTTTTTGTTTTTTCATCTCTGCTCATTTCATGTAAGCAGCTGTCAACTTCATCTACAAGTTACAGCAACTCTGATTATGTCTTGTCTTCCCAAATATGTGGTACTGAACACACATTTCCTTAAACAGAATCATAAAGGTATAAAATTAAAAGGGACATTAACGATTATCTAGACTGGAGGGTTTGAGCTTTTTAAAGCAGTAAAATCCTTTTCTCAGCTGAAATGTTATGTGGAAAGTTAATATATAAATTAATAAAAGTATAGCCGATGTTCCTGAGTCCTGGAATCCAAGCCCTGTAGGTCTCCCTTTGTTGTCTGGGGCCATCCCCTGAGGGTACTTCTATGGAACCCAGAGGGCTCCCTAGAGTGCTGCTTTAAAACCCCTAATTTAGACTAACCCTTTCATTTTTCTAGCTGAGGAAATAGGCCCTGAGAATTTGTGTTTTATCCAGCTTTAGAGAGCAGTCCTCACATGTAACAGGAAAGCACTATTAGACAAGGGTGAAAGTTATCATTTCTGATGCAGATAACTTTTGCTATCTCATTTCTTTTCATTAGCAAAAATTTATTTGGTATAACTACTACTTGTACAATATTTTCTTTGGCTATAATTGATTCAAAGAAATATAAGATATAGCCCTTTGCCTTAAGGAATGAAGTAGTCTAAGCGAGAAGGTGAAACATGCAGTTGAAAATTTAAATACAGAATTTAGAATACAACATCAAGATTAAAGATGTAACAAAGCAATGTGGAATTAATTGATATGAAATGGTAATAAGCATTGTTGTTGTTATTGTGCCGCTGAGTCAGTTCTGACCCAGAGCGACCCTGAACAGGGTTTCCAAGGCTGTAAATCTTTATGGGAGCAGAACGCCTCATCTTCTCCAACGGAGCAGCTGGTAGTTTCGAACTGCTGACCTTACGTTTCACAGCCGATTCGTAACCACTATGCTACCAGAGCTCTATTAGTTGGAGCTAATAGGAAGGTCCTGTTGACTCTGACTCATAGTCACCTTGTATAGGGTTTCTGAGGAGCAGCTGGTGGGTTTGAACTGCCAACTTTTTTGCTCACGGTTCAGTGCTGATCCTACAGTGCCACACCAGGAGTCCATAGGAAGGTGTAGCTATTCTCACTGGGCTAGAGAATGTTTTAAAGAATTAATATGACAACTGGGTAGGAATGGGATTGTTTGAATTCTGTTAGAATTCTAGTTCTTTCATATCCACCTCTATATGCGGGGGCTTCAAAAAGTTCTTGCAAAATTCTATTATCTTTTCATTCCAGTTTTCAATGAAATTTTTAACTGCCCTTGTAGAATCTTGGGTAGATTCTTAACCTCTGAGTCTGTTGCTTGCTTCATCTGCAAAATTGGGATTAAGGAAACAATTAATTAGCTACATTGTTTGTAACAGATAAACCTCAAAATTTCAGTGACTTATCCGAATAGAATTTTTTTCTGTCTTATATTAGTGTCTGTGTCAGACAGTGTTCTACAAGGTTACTCGGGGATCCAGTTTCATTGTGCTTTACCTTTTACTTCTGGTAGGTAGGTCCTTGGAATTTTAAACCTTTAGTCAGCATTTGTGAAAGAAAGAGTGGGGAATACCACTGGAGAAGTTTTTAGGATTAGGTGTGAAATTGGTTTACAACACTGTCCATTTTCTAGTAACCAAAGCTTAGTTATAAAGCTATATGTAAATACAGAGGACGTAGTTAAGTTGTGTGCACAATTTGGAAAGAAAAACAAAATTTAGCGAACATTTTGAGGTCTCTGCTACCTCACAGAGTTGTTGGGAAGATTGGATGGAGTAATTTATTGAGGTATGTAGGTATTTAATCAACCTTTTAAAATAATAGTTAACTTTATAATATATTGCTGAATACAGATAATTAACTACTATTATTAGCATGTGTTCTATTAACATGTGTTTTAACCTCTTTTTGGGGGGAGGTATCAATTTGCTTTTGATTCTTGGTTATAATGACAATAACTTACATTTAATTCTTCTTAGTAAATTCTTTGTTTCTTTCCCTTTTAGCATGGTGTTATTGCTACAGAAGATGAAGAATATTTTATTGAACCTTTAAAGAATACCACAGAGGATTCCAAGCATTTTAGTTATGAAAATGGCCATCCTCATGTTATTTATAAAAAGTCTACCCTTCAACAACGGCATCTGTATCATCATTCTCATTGTGGGGTTTCGGGTAAGTAAGTGAGCAGCAGTTAGAAAGCATTATATTACATTATATTGCTGATTTCTCTTCTGGAAAATATAGTAAGACTACTAATATAAGTATGTGGGAAATAAAATTATGAAGTACAGACTCCTCTTAAAAGATATCACCTACTAGTGTTCTCATTCCAATTTTGAAACTCTTTGAGAAGTCTTTAAAATAGAGATCACTGTTAAATTTGAAGGGGGGAAAATAGCACCCTTATTTTATCCAGTTCAAAAAAAAAATCCTTATTTTATTCAGTTACAGCTTCATGTGTGGGCGTTCCTATTATTGTACTTCAGTGCTACTTGGCTAGTCTGTTTTTTCATCCCACTACCAAGAATCCAAGCTGTTGACCATGACAGTGTATCTTAAGGAAGTATTCTAAGGTAGTGATAGCATCAAGTTAGGGTACTATAAGAATGATAGTGTGACTATGGGTGTATGTGTGTGTTGTGTGCCATCAAGTCTGTTTCTACTCATATGACTCAGGATAGGGCTTCCAAGAGCGCCTTCTTCTTGTTAAGTGCCGTTGAGTTGGTTCTACTTATAGTGACCCTATGTAAGGTTTCTAAGGAGTTTGAAACTGGTGGGTTTGAACTGCCATCTTTATAATTAGCAGTCCAGTGTTTACCCTACAGTGCCACACTGGGTTTAAATGGCCAACCTTGTGGTTATGAGTCTAGTGCTTATCTTGTAGCACCATACCAGGGCTCAGGAATGCATAGTTGTTGTTGTTAAGTGTCATTGAGTCCAATCTAATTTATAGAGACACTATATAGCATTTCTGAGGAGTGGCTGGTGGGTTTGAACTGCCAACTTTGTGGCTAGTAGTCCAGTGTTTATCCTACAGTGCCGCACAATGACTCTAGGAAAGTATAGTAGAAACAGCAAACCTAAATTTCAATGGTCAAGCAAGGCTTCCTGAAGATGTCACTTCTAAGCAGAGGCCCAAGAGATAAAAGAGGAGGTAGCTGGGCAAAAGGGGGAGGGGAGATGTAGCTAAGAGTGTTCCACAAATAAGAAACACCGTTTACAAAGGTCCTGATCCAAGAGAAAGCATGTTCCATTTCAGGAATTAAAAGTTCATACGACCAAATATTAAAAAGTAGGTTGGTCAGGTAGGGGTTGAGCGAGATGTGAATGACGAAACTGTAGATAAGAAGAGGACTTTTTATAAGGATTTGTAAACTAAGTTTAGGAATTCATTTATCTTAAGTGCACTGGGACCCACTGAAAGGTTTTAGGCAGGAGGGATATGACATGATCAGATTTGTGTTTTAGAAAAATTATACTCTGGCATAGAGTGTGGAGATTGGATTAGAGAAGAACAAGATTAGAATTAAGAAGAACAGTTAGGTAGTGGTTTAGTCTAAAGATGAGAAAACTTAGAGGAATACAGGATATAACGATACATGGTAGAAAGAACTTGGGCTGCGGTGTGACTTTGGACAAATTACCCAACCTCTCTTAGTGATCTTCTCAGGCCCAGGACGCCTTAGTTAGTCAACATGCAGCTAGATTTGCTCTACATGGAACCAGAGGCAAAGTACTTCAGAGATATAGAGGAATGGAATGCATCAGAGAAGTGAAAATATCAAAAGAATACACATTAAATCCTGTATTTTCACATTTTAGCTTTCAGTCAGGGAATGGGAAGATTAGAGATGACTTGAATGCCTGTATAGTTTTATGATGAAGCTAGTCACAAAGGACTGAGCAAGAGAAATTGTAATTATATTAAGGCAAAAAATATTTTTGATGCAGTTTAATAATATTATCAAAAACCTAATGACTTAAACTGCACACTTTTAATAGTTTCTGTGAGTCCTGAGTCCATGCACAGCTGGGTCCTCTGCTTAGGATCTCACCAGGCTGGAATCAAGGTATCAGTCAGGGTTTAGTTCTTGTCTTGAGTCTTAACCCAAAAATCCACTTCCCTATTCTTCTGAACTTTGTAGTACTCAGTTCCATGTTGTTGTAGGATTGAGAATTTTAGGTTTTGATTCACTTGTAATTTCTTGCCATGTACTATATGGCTGCTTGTTTCCTCCAACTCAGCAAGGGAGAGACTAGACAGGGGCTGTAATATTATGTAATCTATTCATATACCCAGAGTCATTTACATCCACTATCTTTGCAGTATTTTGTTAGTTATAAGGAAGTCACATGTCCTACCCACACTCAAAGCGAACGTCTGAACTTCAGGTGGTGAAGTCGTGGGAGCCACCCAAAGAGTCTGCCACTTGGATATAAGGAACACTTTCTAGCTGTGTTCTAGGGGGATATACTATTGAAATAAGAAACAGTATGTTTCTGCATCTACTGACCTTTAGGAATAAAGACACATTTAATTTACATTGTTATTAAGTACTGTTGAGTTGGTTCTGACTCAGTGATACCTAGGCTTTAGATTTTTGAAGGAGTAGAAAGCCTTATCTTCTCATGCATTTAATTTTATTTACATAAGTTTAAAAAATATTCAACTGATACTTCTGTGGTAATTGCCATCTCTTCAATTTCTTAAAATTTGCCCAAATGCAATTTTTAAAAGGGAGAGGCTGAAGTAGTTAGAAAACTAGAACACAGAGCCACTTTGGGTCAAATACCATGGGCTCCAAAAATTTGTGGAAAAATTCCATTATCTTTTCATTCCATTTTTCTGTGAGTTTTTTGAAGTTTTCTTGTATATAATCAATATGAATCTAATTGTGTCTCACTAAATTTTTCAATAAGTGGAGCTAAGAAAGATTTCCTTTCCAATATAAAAATAATGAAAGTGAGGTAGGTATGCAGACACCTCTCCTTATAAGATAGAGATGAGAGTAATATTTGCAAATGTCATAGTATTAAAAGTTTTCCTCTCTATTGAAGTACCAACTGTCTAAAAAAATAAAGGATAAACTACAATTCCCACTAAAATGTGGTTTAAAGCAATTTATGCTGGCATTCTGATCTTGCAACTCACTCTAGTGACACTTCTAGGCTTTGGAAAAGAGATGTTTTAGGTAGTTTTGCAAGTATAAATAGTAAATTGCAAAACTAAATGAAAAAAAAAACCCAACCTTAAACCCTTTTATAATTGTAATTTCTAGAGCAATAGGATTGTCTATCATTAAGATCTTTTTTTTAAAAAACCTTTTTATTGTTAAGTGGGTGAAGATTTCCAGAACAAATCAGTTTTCCATTCAACAATTCACATACATTTTGTTTCATGTCATTGACTGCAGTTTCCACAGTGTAGCATCACGTATCCCACTTTCTCCAAGTTTCCCTTTTCCATTTCTCCTTCTTTCCTAATTCTTGTGAACTTTGTCTTTGCATAAATGCTGCCCTTTTGATTTCAAATGGTTGATTGTACCTCTCTGGTGTTAATTCCTTATAGACCTGTCTGTTACTTGACTGAAAATTGAATCATGGGTGTGAGTTCATTTCCAGACTTAAAGAGCAGTAACCAAGGGCCATAGTCTCAGAGTTTCACCTGTCTTGATTCTACCAGTAAGCCTGGTCTTACTCATGATTTTGAGTTTCGTTCCACATTTTTCTCTCACTCCCTCCAGGAACTTCTAATGTGACCCCTTTCAAAGTTGCTGGTAGGGGTATCTAGACACCATTTAGTTCTTTGGGGATGAAGGTCATGGAGGCTGATGTTCATATGATTCATTAGTTCATTGGAATAATTGTTACCATGCACTTTTGATTTCCTCAATCTTCTTTCCTCCAGACAGGAAGAGACCAATAATAGCACATTACATGGCTATTCCTGAGATTTAAGACCTCAGTTAGTATTAACCAAAGTAGGAAGTCGAACATTGTCTTTGTGGACTGTGTTATGCTAATTGACTTTAGTCCCCCTCAGACTCAGTCACTGAGTCTGTCTCTGAATCCCCAGGCTCAGTGACTCATTGCCTCAAGGTGTTTAATTATGTCTAAGAAGTTTTCATAACTTTGCCTTTGTATGCTTCACCATATTCATGGATATATTTGCAGCAAAGAAAAATATACATGTAGAAATATCCTCTGTCAAGCCTATATATTGTTGTTGTTGTTGTTAAGTGCCGTCAAGTTGGTTCCGACTCAGAGCGACCCTGTACAGGGTTTCCGAGGGTGTAAATCTTTACGGGAGTAGAAAGCCTCATCTTTCTCCTGCGGAGCGGCTAGTAGTTTCGAACCGCTGACCTTAAGGTTCGCAGCCCGATTCGTAACCACTACGCTACCAGAGCTCCACATATATATATATATTCATGGATATAGTCCTAGTCCCCCTCCTATACCTGCTCAGGTATGTGTCTATCCATTCATCTTCTAGTAGATCACCATTATTGCAGCATTGTGTGTATAACAGTATTTACCTCTTTGCCTTTAGCTTTTGCACTCTTCCTAGTATCTTCCCCTGCCGCCATCAATTTTTGCTGGTCTCTTTTATATAGTATATTGCCTTTCCCTTCACCCAAGATAATTAATATGAGTTTACCCTTTACTGAAGTTCTTAGGTGCCATAGAACTGGATGCAAATAATTGCAACCCTATGCACAACCAAATGAAACTCTGCTTGGTTTGCACCATCCTAACAACTGTTGTTACGTTTTAGCCCATTGTGGCAGCCACTGTATTAATCCATCTCCTTGGAGGTCTTATTCTTTTTTGCTGACCCTCTACTTTACCAAAGATGCTGTCTTTTACCAGAATCTGGTCCCTCCTGATAAAATGCCCAAAATATGTGACATGAAGTCTTGTCATTATTGCTTCTAAGAGTCATTCAGGCTGTACTTATTCCAAGACAGATTTGTTCATTCTTCTGTCAGTCCATGGTACTTTCAATAATCTTTGCCAATACCATAATTCAAAGCCATCAATTCTTCTATGGTTTTCCTTATTCATTGTCCAGCTTTTGTATGCATATGAGGTGATTAAAGATAGCATGTCTTGATTCAGATTCACCTTAGTTCTCAATGCTTTATCTTTGCTTTAAAAAACGTTAAAGAGGTCTTTTGTAGCAGATTTGTCCAATGTAATATACATCGTTTGATTTCCTGAGTGCTACTTCCATGATTGTTGATTGTGGATTCAACTAAAATGCAATCCTGACAACTACAATATTTTCTCCATTTATCATGATGTTTCTTGGCCCAGTTGTGAAGATTTTTGTTTTCTTGTGGCGCTGTAGGATAAGTGCTCGACCACTAGGTTGGTTTGAACCACAAGGTCAGTGGTTCAAATTTACCAGCCACTCTTCGGGAACCCTACAAGATTTGCTATGGATAGGAACTGACTTGATGGCACTTAACAACAACAACATGGGTTGTAATCCATACTGAAGACTGTATTCTTTGACATTCATCAATTAAGTGCTTCAAGTCCTCTTCATTTTCAGCAAGCAAGGTTGTGTTATTTGAATATTTCAAGTTGTTAATGAGCCTTCCTCCAATCCTGATGCTGTGTTCTTTTTCATGTAGTCTAACCTCTCATATTATTTGCTCAGCATACAGATTGAATAAGTATAGTGAAAGGATACAACCCGGGAGCACATGTTTCCTGATTTAAACCATGCAGTAGCCCTTGTTCTGTTCAAACGACTGTCTCTAAGTTGATGTACAGATTCCTCATGAGAACAGTTAAATGTTCTGAAATTTCGTTATTCATAATTTGTTGTGATTTACACAGTCAACTGCTTTTGCATAGTCACAAAAACACAAGTCAACAGCTTTCTGATATTCTCTGTTTTCAGCCAAGATCCATCTGATGTCAGCCTCATTCCAAGTCCTCTTCTGAATCCAGCTTCAGTGTATGGCAGCTCCCTGTTGATTTATTGCTACACCGTGTTTTGAATTATCTCCAGCAAAGTTTTACTTGCATATGATATAAATGATATTGTTTGATAGTGATTTCCACGTTCTATTGGGTTACATCTTTTTGGAATGGGCACAAATATGGATCTTTTCCAATAGATTTGCCAGGCAGATGTCTTCCAAATTTCTTGGAATAGACCAGTGTTCTTCCAGCACTGCATCAGTTTGTTGAAGCTTTTCAATTGATATTCTTTCAATTCCCGGAGTCTTGCTTTTCTCCAATGCCTTCAGTGCAGCTTGGACTTCTTCCTTCAATAATATTGAACATGTGGTACTTCCTGAAATGGTTGAATGTTGACCACTTCTTTATGGTACAGTGACTCTGTGTATTCTTTCCATCTTCTTTTGATGCTTCCTGAATCATTCAATGTTTTACCCATGTTGTTGTTGTTGTTAAGTGCCATTGAGTCGATTCTGACCCATAGCAACCCTGTATAGGGGTTCCAAGGAGCAGCTGGTGATCTTGAACCATCCATCTTGCAGTTCAAACAACTTTGCAGTCTGACCATTGGCCTACAGCACCATATTGCAAGTTGAATCTTGAAAAATTTTCAATTCTTTCAGCATGAGAAATGCTGAGCATGCTCTTTCCTTTCAGTTTTCTAATTCCAGGTCTTTGCACATTTCACTATAATACTTTGTCTTCTTGAACTGCTCTTTCAAATTTTCTCTTCAGCTTTTTTACCTCATCATTTTTTCTAGCTGCTTTTGCTACTCTATATTCAAGAGTAACTTTCAGAGTTTTTTCTGACATCCACTTTGGTAATTTTTCTTTTTTTTAGTGACCTTTTGCTATCTTCATGTATGGTGTTCTTGATGTCATCCCACAAGTCCTCTGGTCTTCAGTTACTGGTGTTCAATGTATCAGATCTTTTCTTGAGATAGTCTCTAAATTCAGGTGGGCTATATTCAAGGTGGGTTCCTAGTATGGTGCTGTAGGATCAGCAATGAACTTCAAATCTACACTTCAAACCCACTAGCTGCTCCATGGAAACCCTAAATAGGGTTGCTGTGAGTCAGAACCGACTTGATGGCTTTTAACAACAAAAATAATACTCAAGATAGTATTTTGTCTCTCATGGATTTGTTTTAATTTTCTTCAGCTTCAACCAGAACTTGCACATGAGCAAATGATGGGCTATTCCACAGTTGGCCCCTGGCCTTGTTTTGGCTGATGATATTAAGTTTTCCCATTGTCTCCCCACAGACGTAGTCAATTTGATTCCTGTGCATTCCATCTGAGAAGATCTAGGTGTATAGCCATTGTTTATGTTATTGATAAAGATATTTTCAATGAGTAAATTGGTCTTTCAAAATTAGATTATGTGATCTTCAGCATCAAGGCCATATTTTCCAGCTGCCCATCCTTTTTGTTTCCAACCTTTGCATTCTAATCACCAATAATTATCAATACATCTGGATTGCATGTTTGATCAATTTCAGACTGGAAAAGATGGTAGAATCCTTCAGTTTCTTCATAATTCGCTTTTGTAGCTGTTTCATAAAGTTGAATAATAATTGTTTTAACTGGATTTTCTGGTTGTTTTTGCTGTTGTTAAGTGCCATCAGTCGAATTGGTTCTGACTCATAGTGACTCTGTATAGGGTTTCCAAGAAGTGGCTCGTGTGTTTGAACTGCTGACTTTTCAGTTAGCAGTCTAGTACTTATCCTACAGCACCACACAAGGACTTCCAGGTCTTTCTGGTAGGCAAATTGATATTATCCTATCACAGGCAGCATTAAACGTCTATGTAAATCTTGAAATGTTCAACCCTTTAGTTAGAAATTTATCCATTCTTCATCTCTCACCCCTGGTAATCATCAAATAATTTTTCCTTTTAATGTGAAAACGTTTTCTTAATTTTTAATAATAGTGGTGTCATACAATATTTATCATTTTGTGATGGACTTATTTACTCAGCATAATGTCCTCCAAATTTTTTCATGTTATATTATGCTTCAGTAATTCATCATTATTCTTTAATGTTGAATGTTTTTCCACAGTGTACATGCACCATAGTTTATTTATCATTAAGATTTTTTAAATAAGAGTATCCTGGTGCGGTGCTATGGGTTTAAGGTCAGTTTGAACCTCAAGGTTGGTAGTTCAAGCTCACCAGCAGCTCCTTGGAAACCCCATACAGGATCGCTATGAGTTGGAACTGTCTCGATGGCACTTAAATCAACAACGTCTTTAAAATAAAAGCTCAAAAACACTTTAAGAACAAACTTTGCAATTTTAATTTTCTCCATCAGAACCGCTTTATGTTGCTTCTAAAGTGAATGCTCTTGTTGCTTTTAAATAACTTTAAATGATTTTTATAGCATATATAAAACTGGAAGAATTATAATATAATTGCTCACTTTAATAATATGGAATGATTATTTGAAAAACACTTTTATTAAGTAATTAGTTTCTTAGATTTATTTTATTTATTTTCTTGAACAGTTGAACATTCTTAAACCAAATGCAAACTATTGCTGTTGAGTCCACTCAAATTCATAGCAACCCTATAGGAGAAAAGCGAACTGCCCACCAAGTTTTTAAGGCTATAAATCTTTACAGGAAGAGACGGCTGCATCTTTCTCTCACAGAGCAGCTAGTGGGTACAAATGCTGACTCTTTGATTAGCAGCCTCCTAGCACTTTCACCAAGGAGCTCTGGTAGCGTAGTGGTTACGAATCGGGCTGTGAACCATAAGGTCAGCTGTTCGAAACTACCAGCTGCTCCGCGGGAGAAAGATAAGGCTTTCTACTCCCGTAAAGATTTACACCCTCAGAAACCCTGTTACAGGGTCGCTATGGGTCGGAACCGACTCAATGGCACTTAACAACAACAACAACAGCACTTTCACCACTCCGTCCCCAGTGCTTCTTAATTGAATATTACTGAAGTTTAATATGATTTCAGAAGCGTAACTATTTTGAAAAAAAATTAAATAAGTTTATTATTTTCACTTCTTTGTTATCTTTACTTCCTTTACTTTGAAAAATCTTAGTATGTTTGAGACTTTATGAGTCTTTATGAAAGATCTATAAATAAATAAGTCTAATTAATGAACTCATCTGAATTGTTTATTTTTATTGTAGATCTCACAAGAAATGGCAAACCTTGGTGGCGGAATGAGACATCTGTTTTGACTTCTTTACTACCAATTAATAACTCCTATGTACGTCACAGACAGAAGAGATCTGTAAGCATTGAGCGGTTTGTGGAGACATTGGTTGTGGCAGACAAAATGATGGTGGGATATCATGGCCGGAAAGACATTGAACATTACATTTTGAGTGTAATGAATATTGTAAGTTTGATCCCTCTGTGTAATATTGTACTTAATAGCTTGTTGTGGTTTTTTTATTCATTAGTGTCATAGAGTTTTATTGCAAGTATAGTCAATCACCATTATTCTGTCACCCTATATTTATAAATTTACCTTTTTGCAAAAATTTATTTGTAACTCCAAAATCATTATTGGTAGACATTTTGAGATCCTTTACAGATATGCACATGCACCGAACTGTAAGAAACTTGATTTGCCCAATAGGCCCATTCTCTGCTAAGATTGAATAAAGGCTGGTTTGGTTTTAGCTTAATTCAGTGTTCATAGTAATTCTACAGAACATAACTACCTAGAATAATGAGAATCAACTGTATATAATGAGTTTAGCAATTCACTCCTCTAACAAGAGAAATAGCTGATCTATTAATGTTTCAGATTGATAGAAAATAAATTTAAAGGAGACTTTAGTGTCCATTTTCAGACTTTTTAGATGGGTCAGGTTAAGTCTTTAAGAGATATTTATTAACTCACCCTCTAGTTATTATATTGTACTTCAACTATAGAAGAAAATATATTTTGAGGTAAATTAGTATAATAAACCTTTATTTGAAGAGGTTTTGAGGCTAGAGTTCTAAATGATATGCATACTGGCTAAATTGATTAAAAAATTGTAATGTTGCTAAGTGTTGTCGAATCGGTTCTGACCCATAGCGATCCTATATAGGGTTTCCAAGGAGCAGCTAGCTGGTGAGTTTGAAGTGCTGACCTTGCAGTTCAAAGCAATGATGCAGTCATCCCATAGTGCCACACCAGGACACCAAAAATATTGTATTGCTACTTTTTAAAGAAAAAAAAAAAAAAATTCAAGCCATCACTGTATGATTTTTGTCTGACTTTGTGTCTTTTCTTATTTTCTGGAGGTCAGGTTGCCAAACTTTACCGTGATTCCAGCCTAGGAAACGTTGTGAATATTATAGTGGCCCGCTTAATTGTTCTCACAGAAGATCAGGTAAGAATGGGTTCGCTTCTTAATCTAAAAAATTTAACATATAGGATAAAGAATTATATATTATAAAAAATATGTTTTATTGATCCTCCTAGGAAGTTTTAGTTAAGTATGATTTTCAACTGTAAGCATTTAAGATTTTAATCAAGCTTTAGATAGTTTATAAGAATATACCTCTTATGTCAAGTTAAGGCTTTATATATATATATATATGTTTTACATTTCAATGTAAGGAAGAACATTTGCATGGCAAACTATAATGTTTTGTATGCTGATAATCTTATATATAGCCACTTTATTACTGCTGGAGCTAGAAAAAATATCTGTTCAATAATACACTAAATGAACTCTAGGTCAGATTTTACAGAGATAAAAATTGGCAAGAGACTATTCCTAGAAACGACTGCTTCTAATTATAGTCCCACTTTAGTCTTCAAAAGTTTTAACAACTGACCTTAGTAATTTCTTTGGAACATTTCTGGTATGCATGTTGTGTTGCAGCCAAACTTGGAGATAAACCACCATGCAGACAAGTCCCTTGATAGCTTCTGTAAATGGCAGAAATCCATTCTCTCTCACCAAAGTGATGGAAACACCATTCCAGAAAATGGGATTGCCCACCACGATAATGCAGTTCTTATTACTAGGTATGGTTTAATGCAAGTATTTTTCTTTTGTTTGTTGTGTTTGTTTATAGTATAACTGTAGTTGGCTCTATCTAAAGCCTCATTCAGGTAATTAGTAGAAAAAGCAAAATGATAATGTATCATTCACCATTGAGAAAGAATGTGTCATGCCATTACTGTGTTTATCAAATACGAAAAAAAGATAAGGTTAAAATTTGACTTAGAAATTTAATAAATATCTTTCCTTATGCTGGTGGGGTCTGTTAATAAGATTTGATTGGAAATATATATATATAACTTGTTAATTGAACAAAAAACTAAAACGTAATTTAAAAAATATAGGAAAATAATAAGTTTTAAAATAAAGAGTTACAAAATAAATGAACTATTCTTACTCCTAAATTATATTAAAGCTTGTTAGGAAGAAATGATCAGTTATAAAATTTATTTAAGAGAATGTTTGGTTTTAAAAGGTTTAAACTAAGAGGTATGGATATAAAGAAAGAAAACAAATTTTTTATATATTGATCAGCTCGATTATGACTACAGAATGATGTCCTAATAAACTTATATACTGCTTCCCAGTTTTATAAAACTGCATTCAGATCCATTTTACTCTTAACTGCTGAACAACTCTGTGAAGTAGATTTCACTGTTACCATTTTTAATAACAAGGAATGAGGAAACTGGTTCAAAATAAATAGTTAAATAATGAAAGAGTAGGCCTCAAACTCAAGTTATCCTGTGCTCTTTGATTATAATATGTTACCTGTTTTAGTATTTTTATTCTTATGTTTGGTGGCGCTGTAGGATAGGCACTAGACCAAGAATTTGGTTTGAACTGCAAGGTTGGTGGTTCACACTCATTAACTGTTGCTCAGAAATGCTATATAGGGTCACTATGAGTTGGAACCAACCCCACAGCACTTCACAACAACAAAGCTGGCTAGAAACAGTATGTTGAAATCATTTTCAAATAAGTGTGCTTTTTGGCCTCTGATCACAGTTTAAAAATAGAAATAAATGAAAACAACAGCAAACAAACAATAAACAATTTGGAAGCATTATTCTTTCTTGGCCTTTGTTACCTTGTTTATTTGTTTTAATTTGTGAGACTGTATTTAACATATACTTTACTGTGGCAGACTCATTTATGCTACAAGGTCAACAGTTCAAACTCTCCAGCCACTCCTTGGAAACCCAATTACAGGGTCCCTATAAGTCAGAACCAATTCAACGGCACTAAACAATAACAATGACAAGTTCTATGGAGAAAGGGTAAAGTAAAGTTGATCTTAATTATTTATAGATTTTATATTTGCAGCTTCACCTGTTTGCTAAAATTAAATTGTACCCCCCAAATCAATGCTTGTGGTGCTTTTATGACCATTTTTGGACATACAAAGAATGTAGAAAAATTTGTGTCACCTGACATGCTAATTCTTAGTTGAAGTTGAACAAGGTGACAATCTTCCTTCTTTCAGCTCTAATAGTGTAAGCAAGTGTCCTTTTTACTGTATGTTTAGTGCCACATTTCTCATATTTTTGTGCTTTTTGTTAGTAATTTCACTACTTAAAATCACTCCCAAACATAGTGCCCAAATACTGTGTAGTGTTCCTAAGCATAAGAAGGCTGTAATGGTCCTTCAGAGGAAAATAGGTGTGTTAGGTAAGCTTTGTCTAGGCAATAGTTTTTGTGCTGTTGACCATGAGTTCATGTTAATGGAGCAATAATATGAAGAAGCACACATACATCAAGGTTGTATATTGATTGATTGATGTTAAGTGCTGCTGAGTTGGTTTCCAGGGAGCGGCTTGGCGGATTTGAACTTTGCGGTAAGCTGTTCAGTGCTTATTCTACAGATCAGAGGCTTTCAGGAAACTGTATTTCCCCTATGAGCAGTGATTTAATATTTACTAATTGAGTGTTTTCAGCAGCTTTGTAGAATATGACTACTGTGAATAGCAAGAACTGAATATATTTGGGATCTGAATCTCGAGACTCCGTAAGGAAGTGTGGATTTGATTTTACTTATTAAAAAATTTCTTGTTAACTTAATTACAAGTTAAAATTTCTGAACTTATTATTATTATTTAATAGCTATACTTTCTTTAATTGACTTTATCTACCACACTTCATAAGCCAGAAGATTTTGTTTATGTCATACTTGTTGACTAACATCAACATTATGGTGATATCAACATTATGTTCTATATTTATATATGTTGTTATATCAATCTGACAAATACTGCAATTCGTTAGAGTCTTGTAGTCTGGAATGATGCCCGAGTAGATGAGAGTGCTTCAAAATTCATGGAAAACTCCTTTCTTTTAAATTATAATTTTCCACGAACTCATATTTAAATAATTAAAAAAAATTGGAAACTGTAAAAATGTAGAAATCTTTGTGTAAAAATATATATGCAAATGATTGGTGTCAGTGAGATTGCCAAAGGCAAATATTATATATGATTAGCAAAATGATCACACTTACATTGGTTTTCTGTATTTATATTTGTAAAAACCTACCTTTCCTTAAAAACTCAAAATACAGTGGACTCCTGATACTTCACATTTCATTATTGGATCTTCTGCATCAAATGACAAAACTTATACCAAGAGTGCACATAAGTATTCACATAGTGAGAAACAACTTGGCAGTCAGCCAGCATTTCTTTGTACCGACTAAAGGCCAAACTAGTACCAGAAATGATCTCAAGATTTATTAGGACAATAGTTAGTTCAAGGAGCTCATATCTCATTATTTTGGATTGGTTGTGTAATGCAGCTTAGAAAATGTCTCTTGGTGCATTGGTACATTTTACATGATTATTTAATGATAACCCAATGAATTTATATATTGTCTTCCAGTTTTACAAAACTATGTAGATCCATTTTCTTCCTAATTGCCCCCAAATTCTGTAAAGTAAATATCATTGCTATTACTTGAGAACTTCAAAAAGTTCCTGATAAAATGGAATTAAAAGATAGTGGAGCTTTTCCACGAACTTTTTGAGTTCCCCCTTGTGTTTTTGCCATGTTACAAATGAGGAAATTGGTTCAAAATACCTAAATAACTTGCTTAAGATCATTCAGCTAGTAGATGAAAGCACAGGGCTCAAGCCCAGGGGATCCTGTGCTCTTAGATTATATTTTGCTGTTTTAGTATTTTTATACTTTAATTGTGGTTGGGTGAAACATGCTGAATTCATTTTCAGATAACTGTACCTTTTAAAATTATTATTATTTATTTATTTTTTGATGTTTTATTGTAAATTATGTGATATGGGAGAACATTAGTTTTACATTCATCCTATTGTATATTGTTTCATTCCCATGCTTACAATCCCCTCCAGACATCATCAACCAACCAAAAAGTATACACTACAAGCCTGCCCCCTGGTCGCCAGCACACAGCGCCTCTCTCTCTCTCTCTCTGTGCCTAAAGTCCCCAACTGCGCCATCTCTCCACGTCATTGTCTCTGCCTCCATCTCAGGCATCACTGCTTCTCTGGGTAGGGTCCTGCTCTCCGCTCTTCTCCCTTGATGGTCCCAGGGACCTCCGCTCCTAGACTGAAAAGTTAATCA